TCTCCGAAGACGACATACAGATGGCAAACAGAACCGTGAGACATGCTCAGCATCACTCAGCGCCAGGGAAATGCAGATCCAAACTAGGAGATACCACCTCGCACCGGTCTGAATGGCTACAACCAAAAACTCAAGAAACAAGTGTTGGTGAGGATATGGAAAAAAGTAACCTTTCTGCACTGGTGGTGGGAATACAAATTGGTACAGCCACTGTGGACAACAGTATGAAGTTTCCTCAAAAAATTAAAACCAGACCTACCCTACAATCCAGAAATCCCTCCCTACAATCCAGAAATCCCTCTACTGTGTATTTATCCAAAGAATATGAAAATGCTAATTCAAAAGGATATAGGCACCACTGTGTTTATAGCAACATCATAGTAGCCAAATTATGGAAGCAAAGTGTTCCTCCACAGATGAATGGATAAAGATATGGTATATTTCTACAGTGGAATATTACTTGGCCATAAAAAAGAATGAAATCTTGCCATCTGCAACAACATGGAAGGATATCTAGATCAGTATGATGCTAAGTGAAATAATTCACAGAAAGACAAATGCCATATGATTTCACTCACATGCAGAATTTAGAAAATAAAACAAAAAAGAAATCAAAAACAGACTCTTGGAGTGCCTGGGTGGCTTCGTTGGTCTAAACATCCGCCTTTGGCTCAGGTCATGATCCCAAGGTTTTGGGATCAAGCCCTGCACTGGGCTTCTTGCTCAGCGGGGTGTCTGCTTCTCCCTTTCCCCTTGCCCCTTTCCCCTCACTCTGCTCATGCTCCCTGTTGCTCTCTCAAATAAATAAAACCTTACACAGGAGGCAAGAGATCCCCCCAAAAGATCAAACTAAGGAAGTCCACACCAACACATAGTAATTAAAATGGCAAAAGGACATCATAAGGAGAGAATTTATTTTTTTAAAGATTTATTTATTTGAAAGAGCATGACTGGGAGAGGGGCAGAGGGAGAGAGAGAAGCAGACTTCTAGCTAAGCGGGGAGCCCAGTGTGGGGCTCAATTCCAGGACCCCGAGATCATGACCTGAGCTGGGGGCAGAGATGCAGCATCTCTGACTGAGCCACCCAACATGCACCTGTTTAATGAGAGTCCAAACTTTAACAACCCTGTGAGATGTTTCCTCATGATCTCCCCATTCCTCCCTCACATTCCTGCTAAACAAACCCTACCCTTTTGCCATGCAGGTTGACTTACTATCCCTTGAAAATACCAGCACAGGAAAAAGGATGCCAGTAGCCTGGGAAATGGTCTTCAGTTCACGTGGTCTCAAGTAACCTGGAGAAATGTGCTGGGATTATAACTGGTAGGCCTTTAGCTAGAGTCTCTAGAATATTGAGGAGGAGCTAAAAGGATATATAATTTTTAAAAAGCACTTGAAAATGACAAGGCTTGCTTCCTGAGGGCCCAAAGAGCATTCTCATCCCGATCCCACACACCATAGCAATGGTGCCTCCCTGCAGGGATGCGGGAAACCACAGCAGGCCACCACTCTGCCTAGATCACCGCTGGCATCTGGCTCTGTGAGCCATCTCGGGCAGCTTCTAAGAATTCACGTACCTGAGACTGTCTCTTCAATAAATGGTGCTGGGAAATTGGACAGCTAAGTATAGAAGAATGAAACTCGACCATTCTCTCACACCATACACAAAGATAAACTTGAAATGGATGAAAGACCTCTATGTGAGGCAGGAATCTATCAAAATCCTAGAGGAGAACATAGGCAGTAGCCTCTTTGACATCGGCCACAGCAACTTCTTTCAAGATATGTCTCCAAAGGCAAAGGAAACAAAAGTGAAAATGAACTTTTGGGATTTCATCAAGATCAAAAGCTTCTGCACAGCAAAGGAAACAGTCAACAAAACAAAGAGGCAACCCATGGAATGGGAGAAGATATTTGCAAATCACACTACAGACAAAGGGCTGATATCCAGGATCTATAAAGAACTCCTCAATCTCAACACAAAACAGGTAATGTCAAAAAATGGGCAGAAGACATGAACAGACACTTCTCCAATGAAGACATACAAAGGGCTAACAGACACATGAAAAAATGTTCATCATCACTAGCCATCAGAGAGATTCAAATCAAAACCACATTGAGATACCACCTTACACCAGTTAGAATGGCCAAAATCAACAAGACAGGAAACGTGTGTTGGAGAGAATGTGGGGAAAGGGCAACCCTCTTACACTGTTGGTGGGAATGCAAGTTGGTGCAGCCTCTTTGGAAAAACAGTGTAGAGCTTCCTCAAGAAATTAAAAATAGAGCTTCCCTATGACCCTGCAATTATACTACTAGGTATTTACCCCAAAGATACAGATGTAGTGAAAAGAAGGGCCATCTGTACCCCAATGTGCATAGCACTAATGGCCACGGTCGCCAAACTGTGGAAAGAGTCAAGATGCCCTTCAACAGACAAATTTATCAAGAAGATATAGTCCATATACACTATGGAGTATTATGCCTCCATCAGAAAGGATGAATACCCAACTTTTGCATCAACATGGACGGGACTGGAAGAGATTATGCTGAGTGAAATAAGTCAAGCAGAGAGAGTCAATTATCATATGGTTTCACTTACTTGTGGAGCATAAGGAATAACAAGGAGGACACTGGGAGAAGGAGAAGAGAAGTGAGTTGGGGGAAGTCGGAGGAGGAGATGAACTATGAGAGACTGTGGACTCTAAACAAACTGAGTGTTTTGGAGGGGTCGGGGGTGGGAGGTTGGGTGAGCCTGGTGGTGGGTGTTAAGGAGGGCACGGATTGCATGGAGCCATGGGTGAGGTGCATAATGAATCTCAGAACACTGAAAAAATTAAATTAAAAAAATAAATAAAATCATTGAGAAAAAAAATAATTCACTTACATGAAAGAATCTCACATCCTATGATCGCTGTTATCTTTTGGTCAGTCATCCTCACCATTCTGACAACTACCCACCTCCATTTATTCCCCCGCTCCTATCTCCAGTGAAAGTGAAACTGCTTCCAGCAGATGAACGTTCTCCCAGGTAAGTGGTAATGTCTACCCACTGTGGGGCTCCCTACTACCTCTCAACTTCTTCACGTAAACCATTCTGGGGCTTTATTGTAATGCTGGCTTTTCGTAGCTGAGGAAATAATATAGAACCATCAACCATGGGGGCACCTGGGTGGCTCAGTCATTAAACATCTGCCTTTGGCTCAGTTTGTGATCTCAGGGTCCTGGGATCGAGCCCCACATCGGGCTCCCTGCTCAGCAGGAAGCCTGCTTTCCCTCTCCCACTCCCCCTACTTGTGTTCCCTCTCTCACTGTGTCTCTTGTCAAATAAATAAATAAAATCTTTAAAAAAAAAAAAAAAGAAAGAAAAAGAACCGTTAGCCATGTAAGTAGGGAAATATCAAGGCCTATTTATGCTGTATGCTGTGGGTAAACACCACAAGCAATGTGAGCCCGATACATTCTCCTCTCCCTCTGATGACATTATTACATGAACCATTTACTCTACACTTACTGTCAAAATACCAATATTCACAGATTATCACTTCTTGGGGGTTCTTCTGGCAGAGATCTGGAGGTTCACACTTCAAGGCGGTTACCCTGGGCAGGAGCTGGAGGCTCTGACTCTCCAAAGAGGCTCCTTGATACTCTGACACCAGTGGGTATATGTCCTGTCCCTGAGTACAGACACAAGCCTGAGGACAAAAGGTTCACCTTGAAAAGGCATCCGGGTGGGAAGCAGACTGCACAGCACTTAGGGACATCTTGCAGAGGGCCAGATGAGCCGCTGTCCTCTCCTAAAGCAGCAGCGAGTAAGACAGAGGAGCAACACAGAAACAGTCATCCGTGCGGTAGACAAGGACTGCACATGCACCAGGACTTGGACTTTGTTCCACACGCGGAGCTTGTGGTGGCAGAGCAGAGGCAAGGCCCACCCAGAATCGCCGCCCAGGAAGGCAGGAGAACAAACGCGGATGGGTGTTTACGCTAGTGGGTGGGACTTTAATGAGGTATGTGCCGGATCTCAAACCTCTCCCAAGGGTTACTTACGAATTATAAGGGGGAGATGGTCACTTTACACTGCAGACATCTGACAGACCCCCCTTAGCCTCATCAGTAATGAGACAACCCATCACCTTGTGCCTCCTGACGGGACGCGCCAAGGAGAACACGGAGCTTCTGGGGGTTCTGGCCTAAATGCACAAGTGGGATTCTATTGTGAGAAAAGTAGAAGACAATCCCAGATTTATGAGCATCCTATAATGTAACTGGTTTGTCCTCTTCAAAAATATTAGTATCATGACAAAAGAAGACCAGGCAGCTATTCCAGGTTCAAGGAGACGAAAGCGACCAAATGCAGCATGTGAGGCTGGACTGTATCCTGGGAGCAGGATGAAAATGGCCAAAAACCACTCCTGGGAGGATACGGCAAAATGTGAACCAAGACTCCTCTGTAGATCATAGTACGTAACAATTTCAATTTTCTAAAACTTGATTTTTGTGTTCTGGTTACACAAAAGAGTGTGCTCGTGCTTTGGAAATCCGTATTGAACACGGAAGTGTTCCTACATAAACAAGTAAGGTGTCCCCGAGAACCCCGCTGGTTGAAGAAAACACAGCGTGAGTGTGTGTCATCCACACACTGTGCGTGCGCGGAGAGGATGGGGGCAGCTCCCGCACGCAAGGGGGCCCAGCGTTCACTGGTGAATCTGGGTGAAGAAGATACAGGAGTTCTGTGTGCTACCTTTCCAGATACTTCTGTCAGTTATAAATTATTTAAAAGTAGTAAGAGATGCCTGAGAGGCTCAGTCAGTCAAACATCTGCCTTCGGCCCAGGTCATGATCGCCGGGGTCCTGGGATCAAGTGCCACATCAGGCTCCCTGCTGGCTCCCTCTGCCTCCTGCTCCCCCTGCTTGTGCTCACTATGACAAATAAAAAAAAAATCTTCAAAAAAAAAAAAATTAAAAAGTTCAAAACTAAGAGTCAGGTATTCACCAACCTGCTTTCCTGGGTCTCCCGTGTCTTTCTCCAGGTCCTCCAGGGCGGCCACCGCCTGCTCCCCGCTCTCCGGCTGCTGCTCCCGCACCCGGGCCTGCAGCTCCTCGGGCAGGATGGTCAGGAACTGCTCCAGCACCAGCAGCTCCACGATCTGCTCCTTGCTGTGCGTCTCGGGCCGCAGCCAGCGTCGGCAGAGCTCCCGCAGCCGGCTCAGCGCCTCGCGGGGCCCCGGGGTCTCCTGGTAGCAGAACTGCCGGAAGCGCAGGCGGCAGAGCTCCTGAGCGCGGGGGCTGCTCTCCCGAGAGCCCCATGTCTGCTCCCAGGGGGGGTCCTCCTCCTTCACTTTCACAAGGCTGTCTCTGTTTTCAGGTGTGAGGCCTGGCAAAGCTTCATCCATGCCGAGCTTAAAGGAAAAGGTTCACTTAGCCCAGATCTACACTTTAAAAATGTTTTTTCCACATCCGAGGTGTAAGAATGGATCAGTAACGCATTAACAAGAGCTTCAGAACTCCGGAAACATGTATTTTTGTCCCCACCGTTTAAGTCATGCTCAGAAACAGAGCCTGCTTGCTTGTGTTACCAGTGACCATCAGAAATCTATCTTGAACCTGAGCCAGCAGGTAAGGGACGTAAAGGACGGGAGGCAGGAAGAATGCCCCAGCAGCCTCTGCCTCAGCTGGAGAGAGGAGAGAATTGTATCCACAGCAGAGCCAAACCTACTCGTCTGTGTGCTTCCCACAGAATAGCCCACCTCAAATGCAGGGGAGATAGACTGTTTTTCAAGTCTCCTGACCCCTAGAATTTCTTAGGCTGAGATTTTGTCATGCCTTTCCTCAGGAGGTGGAGTCTGTTTCTTCTTCCCTTGAGTCTGTGCTGACCTACGACTTGCTTTGGCCAAGAGAACATCGCAAAAACAACTTTGCAAGAGAAAGCACATCGCAGCCCTTGGCACACCGCAGCAGGCCTGCTGCGCTCTGGGAAAGCCCGGACTGGCCGAGGACTGGACCCCAGAGGCCCCAGCTGAGGTCCAGCAGTGCCCAGCTCCCAGCTGATCACAACCACAGGTAATCCCACCAGTAGAAATGTCCAGTCAGCCCACAGAATCATGAAAAATAATAAGTTGAGTATGTTTTAAGACACTGTTTGGGGTTTCAACTAATTTTTTAACATAAGAATAGGAAATTGAAACACATGCTTCAAGGTTTTTTTCTCTCTGTCCTCTCTCCTTTTATGATCTCATTAATCCCAATTTCAGCACATCTCTATTCCAAGAATACACAAGTCTTTGGCTGACTCCAACTCACCTTTACGTTCCTGACGCACATCTTAAAATACCAGTAGGATGCCTTCCAGATTCTCCTGGGTCATAAACTCAACACATCAGAAGCTGAAATTGGAGTCTGTCAAAGCTGCACTCACTGTTCTCCCCATTTCCACTGGCATCACCACCATCCCGGATACGTTCAGGTTTAAAACCTGCCGCTTTCCATAAGCATTCTGAGTCCAGGGAATCCTCCAGAACACCTCTCACAGCCATTCCCTCCCTTTTATTCCCCATTACCACTGACATTCATGACTACAATAACGTTCTGTGTGGTATCCCTGCCCCACAGCTTGCTCTATCATCCCTGCATTAGTATTTCCTAAAGCACCATTCTGACCATGTTCAACACAACATCCCCACCAAAAACAGGGTTTCAACTCTTCCTCTGTGGACTGGATTCAAACTCCCCAGGATCTGACCTTCCGTGTTTTGTTTTGTTACTGGTTTGTCATTCAGTAAACTACCAAGCACATTATTTTACAGGCACAACGCTAACCCCAAATTAAAAGACAGTCCCTATTTCCTAGAAACCCCAAAATAAAAGACACAGTCCCTACCCCCTTTGGAGACTCCTCACGTCACTGCCATGCTGACCTGCTCGACTTTTTCCCACCCACTTTGTCCCTCATGGCCAGGATTGCCCTTATAGGAGGGCACATTTCCCAAGTACCAGTGCAAACGCCACCCTGCACCTCATATCCAATGCAGGAAACCCCTCTGTCCTCAAGGATATTCTCTCCTCAAGGAGATCCTGGATCTTTGTCCAGGATATTCCCTGAAGAGCCAGCCAACCCACCATCCAAATCCAGTCCCTCACCAGCTCCCCCCACCCCACCCATACGAGGACAGAGGCTCCTTCCAACAGCCCTTGCGAGCCTGGCTCCTGCCCCCCACCCCAAGTCAAAGGCCCCATCCACACAGCCACAGTGAGCCTGGCCCCCACCCCAAGAAGTCAGAGGCTCCATTCACACAGCCCCAGTGAGTCCGGCTCCCGCCCACCGAGGTCAGAGGCCCCGTCCACAAGCCCCAGAGAGCCCGGCTCCCATCCCTCAATAACAGAGGCCCCAGCCACACAGAATAGCAAGCCGGGCTCCCGTCCACCCCACCATCCCCTGAGGTCAGAGGCTCCGTCCACACAGCCCCAGGTAGCCCAGCTCCTGCCACCCTGAGGTCAGAGGCCCTGAGCACACAGCCCCAGCAAGATCAGCTCCTGCCCACCGGGATCACAGCCACGTCCACAAGCCACAGTGAGCCCGGCTCCCATGCCTTGATGACTGAGGCCCTGTCCACACAACCCCAGCAAGCCTGGATCCCACCCCACCGAGGTCAGAGGCCCTGTCCACAACCCCAGCAAGCCCGGCTCCCGCCCATTCCACCCCCCAATGTCAGAGGTCCTGTCCACACAATCCCAGGGAGCCCAGCTCCTGGCCTGTCCCTAAAGTCAGGCTGAGTCCGGACAGCCCCAGGGAGCCTTGCTACCACCCCCAAGGTCAAAGGCCCCATCAACTAGCCCCAGCAAGCCCGGCTCCCATCCCTCGATGACAAAGCCCCTTCGACACAGCCATAGGGAGCCCTGCTCCTGCCCCTTCTGTTCCCCCCACCCAGAGGTCAGAGGCCCCGTCCATACAGTCCCAGGGAACCCAGCTCCTGCCTTCCGAGGTCAGACGCTCTGTCCACACAGCTCCAGCGAGCCCAAATCCCACCCTCCGAGGTCAGACGCTCTGTCCACACAGCTCCAGCGAGCAAGGCGTCCGCTCCTGGAGCTCAGAGGTTCCATCCAGACAGCCCCAGCGAGCCCGGCTCCCTCACGACGACAGAGGCCCCGTCTACGGAGCCGTAGCGAGCCTGACTCCCACCCCTCCGGCCCCCAAAGTCAGAGGCTCCATCCACACAGGCCCAGGGAGCCTGGCTCCGCCCTCTGAGGTAAGAGGCTCCATCCACACAACCCCAGCGAATGCAGCTCCTGCTGAGGTCAGAGGCCCCGTCCACACAGTCAGAGCAAGCCCGGCTCCTGCCCACTGGGGTCAGAGCCATGTCCACACAGCCCCAGAGAGCCCGGCTCCCCCCACCCCACCCGAGGTCAGAGGCTGCATACACAAGCCCCAGCAACCCAGCTCCTGTCCCTCAAAGACAAAGGCCCCGTCCACAGAGCCCTAGCGAGCCCGGATCCTGCCCCCACCGCCCCAGCCCCCCAAGGTCAGAGGCCCCGTCCATACAGCCCCAGCAACCCCAGCTCCTGCCGCCCTGCCGAGGTCAGAGGCACCCTCCACGAGCCCCAGGGAGCCTGATTGCTGACCCCCGATGACATAGGCTGTGCATAAAACCCCAGCGACTCCTGCTCCTGCCCGCCCCCCACCCCCAGGTCAGAGGCTCTGTCCACATAGCCCCAGCGACCCCAGCACCCAACCACGGAGGTCAGAGGCCCCATCCACACAGCCGCAGCAAGCACGACTCCCGCCCCCGAGATCAGAGGCCCTATCCACACAGACCCAGGGAGCCCAGCTCAGGCCTTCCCAGGTCATAGGTCCCATCTGCAAATCCCAGCAAGGCCGGCTCCTGTCTTTCTATGAGGCCCCGTCCACACAGCCACAGCGAGCCTGGCTCCCCCCACCCCTCCCCAAGGTCAGACGCTCTGTCCATAAAGCCCCAGGCAGCGGGCTCCTGCCTTCTGAGGTCAGAGTCCCCGTCCACACAGTCCCAGGGAGCCTGGCTCCCACTGCGCCGTCGAGGTCAGAGGCCCCATCCACAAACCCCAGTGAGCCTGGCTCCCATCTGCCGCCGACAGGCTCTGTCCCCAGGACCCCAGCAAGCCCAGCCTCCACTCACCCAGGTCAGAGGCATGTCCACACAGCACCAGCAAGCCCAGCTCCCCCAACCCCACCCGAGGTCAGAGGCTCCGTATACATGCCCCAGTGAGCCCAGCTCCTGTCCCTTGACGACAGAGGCCCAGTCCACACAGACCTAGTGAGCCCAGCTCCTGCCTCCCTGCAACCCCGAGGTCAGAGGCCCCATCCACTCGCCCCCACTGATCCCAGCTCCCACCCATCAAGATCAGAGGCCTGTCCACACAGTCTCGGCAAGCCCAGCTACCGCCCACGGAGGTCAGAGGCCCTGTCCACACAGCTCCAGCGATCCCGAACCCCCACTCCCGGAGGTCACAGGCGCCGTCCGCCGAGCCCCAGCGGGCCGGGCTCCCACCCACCGAGGTCAAAAGCCCCATCCACACAGCCTCAGCAAGTCTGGCTCCCACCCACCGAGGTCAAAAGCCCCATCCACACAGCCTCGGCAAGTCTGGCTCTCACCCACCGAGGTCAGAGCCACGTCCACACAGCCTCCACGAGCCCGGCTCCCCAAGGACAGAGGCCCCGTCCACAAGCCCCATTAAGCCCAGCTTCCGTCCCTTGACAACAGAGTCCCCGTTCACACGGACCCAGGGAGCCTGGCTCCCACCTAATGATGTCAGAGGTCTCGTCCACACATCCTCCAAGAGCCTGTCTCCTGTCAAGCAAAGACAAAGGCCCCATCCACACATCCCTAGCGAGCCTGGCTCCCGCCCCTCCTGCCCCCCGAGATCAGAGGCTCCATCCACACAGCCCCAGGGAGCCCGACTCCCACCTTCCGAGGTCAGAGCCCCATCCACACAACCCCAGTGAGCCCGGCTCTGGCCCACCGAGGTCAGAGGTCCCGTCCACACACCCCCAGGGAGCCCGGCTCCCACCTTCCAAGCTCAGTTGCTCCGTCCACACAGCCGTAGCAAGCATGACTCCAGTCCCTGAGGTCAGAGGCCCCAGGGAGTCTGGGTCCCGCCCCCCCGAAGTCAGAGGCTGCGTCCACACAGCCCCAGGGAGGCCGGTTCTCGTGTTCCCAGGTCAGAGGTCCCATCCATACAGCCCCTGCGAGTAAGACTCCCACTTCCCCCGACCCCCGCCCAGGAGCTCAAAGATTCCGTCACCACAGCCACAGCGAGTGCAGCTCCCACCTTCCCAAGTCAGAGGCCCTGTCCACACAGCCCCAGCAAGCCCGGCTCCTGTCACCGGACGACAGAAACCCGGTCCACACAGCCCCAGTGAGTGCAGCTCCCGCCCTCCGAGGTCAGAGGCCCCCGTTCACACTGTCCTGGGGAGCCAGGCTCCCACCTTCCGAGGTCAGATGCCCCATCCACACAGCCCAGTAAGCCCAGCTCCTGCCCACTGAGGTCAGAAGCCCTGGCCGAACAGCCAAGTGAGCCCAGTTCCTGCCCACCAAGGTCAGACGCCCCATCCACAGAGCCCCAGGGAGCCCGGCCCCTGCCCCCAAAGTCAGAGGCCCTGTCCACACAGCCCCAGTGAGTGGCTCCCACCTTCTGAAGTCAGAGACCACATCCACACAGCCCCACCAAGCCTGGCTCCTGCCCACCAAGGTCCGCGGTACCCTCCACAAGGGCCAGGAGCCCGGCTCCCCTTACCCAACGACAGAGGCCCCATCCACACAGCTCCAGCGAGCCCAGCCCCCGGCCCCCAGAGGTCAGAGGTTCTGTCCATACGGCCCCAGCGAACCTGGCTTCCCTCACGACGACAGAGGCCCTATCCATACAGTCCTAGCGAGCCTGACTCCCGCCCCTCCCGCCCCCCGAAGTCAGAGGCTCCATCCACACAGACCAAGGGAGCCTGGCTTCCGCCTTCCGCGGCAGAGGCCCCGTCCACAAGCCCCAGCGAGCTCGGCTCCCGACCCTTAACGACAGAGGCTTTGCCCACACAGCCCTTGCGAGCCCGGCTCCTGCACCCTCCCCGCCCCCCGAGGTCAGAGGCCCCGTCCACACAGCCTTTGGGAGCGCATCTCCCATCTTCCGACATCAGAGCGCCGTCCACAACCCCAGCGAGCCCGGCTCCCGCCTTCCGAGGTCAGAAGCCCTGAGCCCCACCACAGCCAGCGTGACTCCCGCCCCCAAGATAAGAAGCCCCGTCCACACAGCCCCAAGGAGCCCGGCTCCCGCCCACCGAGGTCTGAGCCACGTCCACACAGCCCCAGCGAGCACGACTCCC